TCAGCAGCAGCAAGAAGCATGCAGCTACACTACTTGCAGCAGCAGCAAAAGAAGTGATCGACGACCCCCGCAGCACATCTACAGAAAGAAATGTCATCAGGAGCAGCAAAAGCTGTAGCACAAACAGCAGCAGCAGCAACAGCAGCAGCAGCAGCAGCAGCAGCAGCAGCAGCAGCTTGCCTGCAGCAACTCCTTTCTGCTGTCTTGTAAGAAAGTTTTTAGTATTCCCTTTACGTCTTTCGTGTCCGACTCTAGCAGCCCCGTCAGCAGCTCCTCCATCCAGCTGTCGCAGCAAGCTTGATTCGTCTGCAGCAGCAGCAGCAGCAGCAGCAGCAGCAACAGCAGCAGCAGCAGTTGCAGCAGCAGCAGCAGCAGGAGTAGCAGCACAGCAGCAGGCATGGCAGGGGGCTGCTCCCCTCCCCAATCAACAGCCTCAGCAGGATGGTCCTTTGCTGGGCGCAGCAACTACTAGCAGCTGCAGCAGCAACAGCAGCAGCAACAGCAGCAGCAGCAGCAGCAGCAGCAGCAGCAGTACCTCTGGAGGGCGGAAGAGGTTCAGTGCAGCAACAATCCGGGGCTCTCTTATCAAGGCAGCAATTTGCTGCTTCGCGTTCGTCGTGCTGTCTGTCCCCTTTGTCTTTGCATCCGTGGCCCTGCAGCAGCAGCAGCAGCAGCAGCAGCAGCAGCAACAGCAGCAGCAGCAGCAGCAACAGCAACAAAAGAAATGTGGATAAAGGCAAGAGCAAGGAGTGCGCGATAGCCATTCACTTGTTCTCCTACTCCTCTACTCATCCTATTCTGCTGCTGCTGCTGCTGCTGCTGCTGCTGTTTCTGCTGCTGCAGCACCTGCTGCTGCTGCTGCTGCTGCTGCTGCTGCTTACTTGACGAGAGCACTGAGGAGCTGGTAGATGCTGCTGGTGTAGTCGAGCAGCAACGAGGCGCTGTTGCCTGCTGCATCTGCTCCTGTTATATACTTTTGTAGGGGGGTGCTGCCCTGCTGCTGCTGCAGCAGCTGCTGCTGCACTTGCTGCTGCAGCGACACCCCACCAAAGGCAAGGGGATCGAATTGCCTGAGATTAAACCACACACATCCTGCTGCTGCTGCTGCTGCTGCTGCTGCTGCTGTTGCTCGAGCTGCTGCTGCTAGTGTTCTTGTTTCTGCTGCTCATCATCCTGGTCATCCTATGGCTATTGCTGCTGCTGCTGCTGCTGCTGCTGCTGCTGCTGCTGCTGCTGCATCTACAAAGAGGATGCAACGCTGCGCGCGTAGCAGCAGCTGCTGCAGGTGACAGGCAATCAGTACAGCTGCGGACGGAGCAGCAGCGGCGAAGCAACAACAGCAGCAACAGCAGCAACAGCAAAAGCAACACCAGCAGCAGCAGCAGCAGCAGCAGCAGCAGGAGGTGTTGTCGGGGTGTACGTACACTGCATCAACATAAGAAGAAAGAAGCTGAGAAATGCTCATACAACACAAATCCAGTAAACTCGAAGGAATAGGCGGCGGCAGCTTCGCTATTGTCTTACCCACCGCACGCAGCACAGCCTGCAGCAGCAGCAGCAGCAGCAGCAGCAACAGCAGCAGCAGCAGCAGCAACAGCAGACACAGCAGCAGGGAAAGCAAGATGTGAAAAGCAGAACGAAGCAGCACGGAAAAACACAAAACTTCAGCAGAAGTAACAGCAATACCAGCAGCAACAGCAGCAGCAGCAGCAGCAACAGCAGACACAGCAGCAGCAGCAACAGCAACAGCAGCAGCAGCAGCAGTAGAAACAGCAGCAGCAGCAGCAGGAACAGCAGCAGCAGCAGCACCAACAGCAGCAGCAGCAGCAACAACAGCAGCAGCAGCAGCACCAACAGCAAGAGTAGCAGCAGCAGCAGAAGCAGCAACAGCAGCAGCAGCAGCAGCAGCAGCAGCAGCAGCAGTTCGTACATGTCCCTGGTGTATAAGTGTGGGTATCGGCCATCTCTGAATTTCAATAACAGCAGCAACAAGAGGCT